CATGCACAACAAGCCATGTAGTCATTTGCAACAGTTCGTTTTTTTACACATACAGATTGGTTCTATGCAGTCAATCTGTTTTTGCAGTTCTTTAAACTGTTGTTTTCACTTGCAAATTACTGTTCACAGGCTTGCCGTACTTTTGACCGTATTTTGGCGAAAAACAACGTGCCAAAAGTGGAAGCGCGGAAAAATGGAAGTCAGAAGCATGCAGATCATATTTATTTTGCGTTAGCATGAAGCTGCAGTTTCACAATACATGAATTAAATTTACGAGTAACGGTAAAATGCTGCAAATATTTTTTTCTTGCGCTTGAAACACGATTTACACTTTTACAAACCTTCTCTTGCGCATGCAAATTTAATTTACGCTTACAGTCTTATGTACACTTCTACAACTCTTACCCTGCGTATGCAAATCTTTTTGGCATAATTCTACCTTCATACTTTTTCTGAGCGCATACTCAAGAATCGCGCTCACACAGAGCCTGACAAAAAGCGCCTGATTATTGGACTAAGTTCGCGTCTGATTGATTTCGCGTCTAATACTGTAAAAAACACACAAGGTTTACATATAAACACAGTTGGTTATGTCTGAAATGAAAGTAAACAGTTGAGAGAGAAACGCGTGAAGCTCTTAAAGGGACAGTAGCTACTAAATATGCTGCCACCTGTCATTAAAGGGATAGTTCACCCAAAAAAATAAATTTCTGTCTTTATTTACTCACATTTTGTCCCAAACCTGTATTAATTTCTTTCTTGTGCTGAACACAAAAGAAAATATTTTGAAGAATGTGAGTAACCAAACAGTAGCTGGTCCACACTGGCTTTTACAGTAGGAATAAAAGACCATGGAAGTTACTGTGGACCAGCAACTGCTTGGTTACCCACATTCTTCAAAAATAACTTTTATGTTCAACAGATGAAATAAATTAATTCAGGTTTAAAACAACCTGAGTAAATGATGGTATAAAAATTAAACACTATTGAAAGACAGATGATCTTTTAATGTTAATAAAA